TTGTATTTATGTACAATATAATGAAATTGTACAATACAATGTACAATGTAATGAAATTGTACAATACAATATACAATATAATGAAATTATACAATACAATATACAATATAATGAAATTATACGATACAATATACAATATAATGAAATTAGTAGTAGAATATTATGAAATACAAGGGAAGACATAACGCAATAGTGTGTTTTCTATTTATGTACAATATAATGAAATTGTACAATACAATGTACAATATAATGAAATTATACGATACAATATACAATATAATGAAATTATACGATACAATATACAATATAATGAAATTATACGATACAATATACAATATAATGAAATTATACGATACAATATACAATATAATGAAATTATACGATACAATATACAATATAATGAAATTATACGATACAATATACAATATAATGAAATTAGTAGTAAAATATTATGAAATACAAGGAAAGACATAACACAATATTTATGTACAATATAATGAAATTGTACAATACAATGTACAATATAATGAAATTATACGATACAACATACAATATAATGAAATTAGTAGTAGAATATTATGAAATACAGGGAAAGACATAACGCAATAGCGCATTTTGTATTTATATTTTCTTTGTCTTGTGTATGATAAATTCTATCAAATTATAGTTGAAATATCTTTTAAACCAACCAGCTATCGACCATGATTACCCTGAGAATTTCTTTCGTAGAACAATCGGATAGTTCAATGTATGTGAAAAAAGAAGAAAATTTCCATTTGAAAAATTTGCTGATTTCCTGCAATTTGCTTTTATTCGAACTAGTAGCGTGACATGATCTATCCTGTATATCGATAGTCTGACGGCTCTTTAACATGCCAAAATGAAGTGTTGGAGAGAAAATGATGGAAAACTTTTGCACCACACTGTATATTCTGCTCGCATGAACCGGTGAAGGCAACGAGGGGAAATTAATAAACTTTGTTAATCGCTGAATAAACCAGTTTGTCGATCCGTTCACTTGTTTGTCTGTTTGTAAAATTGTCCATTTTTCCCTGCCAGTGCTTTCATTCGATTTTCCCACCTACTTTATTATCGTTTTATTTTATCGCACTCTTCCTTAGCTCTATTACATGGGTTGAGCTACGAAAACTATTCTGTGCAAAGTGCTGTTTCAATAAACGTGGATCTGCGAGATGCTTCTTTAAAGAGTTATCGCCGGAGAATTCCCGGTTTTTCAAGATCGTTGAGCTTTTACGTGCGGAGAAAATGAAAGAACGATGTCCAGGAGTACAAAGACCATAAAGAAAAAATTCTCTTCTCTACCAGTGAAGAAATAAATCTCGAAGATATTCTCTTTGCTTTTCGTAAAAATTGACTTGTTCCATTTAACAAAGAAATTAAATTTATTGCACAGGGATAAAAGAATCGCAGGGATAAAGTCTCGCAGATATTTTATAATTGATTTTTATATTAATTTACTTAGCTGCACTTTTTATGATCTTCGCCACTAGACGAACGAATATGATCATTTTCGGAATTAAAAATCGAATTTTCTATTTGGGGAGAATCGAAAGCTTTATCAAATTGTTCCAAGTAAAATCATACCAGCATATGCTTCTTATCGATGTTTCTGCTTCGATATCTGTTGCACATTCTTTTTTCCTTTTTGGGTCACGCCGTTATAACGCTTTCTCTTTGTTTCTAATATTTCTAGAATTTACCGAAGAAAGGAAGCAATTATTGGAACTTGTCGGGCCTGAACTGCAATCGATTTACGACGACATGGGAATCGAGGTACGAGAAACAGTGGAATTTCCTTCATGAATTTTCCTTTGTAGCTCGTTAAACTCGAAAATTTAACTCGGTCAACGTTCCTTTGTAGCTTTTAGTACTTTTTTCCAGGTAATAGTTTAGAGCTGTTTTATTCAAAATTCACTTAAAATCAGCGTTGATTTGATCTAAAGTAAATCGTAACGAAACATATTATTTTCTGGAAAAATCCGCGAAGGTTTCAAATAATACAAATTTTGTATTTTACTACGTTAAAGGTATTTCATTCTGAAATACTGTTTATTATAATAGAATAGTAATAATAATATTTATTTATTTATTTATTTATTTATTTGTACATCCGATTTCATCTTTCACGCGGCTGATTCCTTTCCTCAGTACACATTTTCTTATTTTATTTATTATAGTTATTCGTCAGCTTTACAGTATACGTAAAATTAGTATACAGATAATGATAATATAATATGCTTGTATATGCTTGAACATAATATCAATATAGCATAAAGTAGTATAATAATATTCAATTGTCCTTGTGGATGTCGCTGGATATTTATTTCTTAAAGGGGTGTCCTGAAATACAATGTTCCAAAACTGCGTTTCTTGCGATTTTTTTTAAAAAGGAAAGAAAGAAACGAAGTTATTGAATTTTGAGGTATGGTTTTATATATATTTAACGAATACAAAAACATTTTTTTTTAAGTAAAAGAAACAATTATAACAGATTTTTAAGTCTATTTCATGGGCTGCAGTGTTCAATCGACGGGAAAGATCCAGCTCGTAATTTTTTACTGAATCAAAAGACCAAAAAAGGATTAAATTATATTATATTTTTCTTCTGGGTGAACTAAACAACGGTAGAAAAAAATGTGAAATTAAAAATTTTGCCGAGTTTAAAGAAAATGTGTTAAAAAAAAAATAAACTTTAGGGTGCTATAACAATTATTTAAATAAACTTTTTTCTGCCTTTGTTTGGTTCATCCAGAAGAAAAATATACAATAATTTAATCCTTTTTTGGCCTTTCGTTTCAGTCAAAAATTACGAGCTGGATCTTTCACGCCGATTGAACACTGCAGCCCATGAAATAGACTTAGAAATCTGCTATAATTTCTTTTTTTACTTTAAAAAAAACTTTTTGGAAATCGTTAAATATATATAAAACCATACCTCGAAATTCAATAACTTCGTTCCTTTCTTTCCCTTCTAAGAAAAATCACAAAGAAACGCTGTTTTAGAACATTCCAATTCAAGACACCCCCTTAATGTCGTTACTATGAAACTCTTAATAAAATTAATTAAAGTCTTCGCTCGTCTTTAATTTATTTTCTGTTCTTTATTTGCTTGTTCGAACGACTGGTTAAAAAATCGAAACACTATAGGTCCTGCTGGTGGATATGCAATACGCAACGAATGTGAATCCCGATAGAAATCCATATTTAGCTGAACACTTTTTCGACGAAATACACGCCGCTTATCAACACTCGAGGGGTTGTTTCTTATTGGTAAGCTTTTGTCAACGATAATTTCCAAAGAAAAAATTTCTTCGTTTCCTGCAGAAATTTTATTTGAGACAGAGAAAGGAAGAGTTATTATTTTCCTTTTTTTTTTCTTCTTCTTCTTCTTTTCTACGAATTTCATTCCATCTAAGTAACATTATCGCATTGCAATCGATACCTTTTTGAACGAAATTATAATTAAATGAAATACCTCGCTTTCGTTTGAAGCTACTAATCGGTGACGAGTACAACGTAGGATGGGTGCCAACGAAGCTCGCTTGCGGAACGTACGATGTTCTTTCCAGTCACTGCGACAATATGCAAGAGTACTACGAACGCGACAGCAATGATTGCTACGTTCTAAAGGCTGGCAGGCGAGTAGTTACCTTTTACTATGCCGTTGCATTGAAGTGGAATGCGCGGTTGGCGAAGGCGTGAGCGAGGACAATAAAAAAAGGAAAGCTGCTCTTATTACTCCGAGTTGACCCACAATTTCCACTCTCTTCGCTCGCTTTCTTCTTTTCTTCTCCTTTTCCGTCTATTTCCTTATTTCTCGCGTTATGAGCTAATAAAATGAGCTAAGAAATAGTAAGTTTCGTTGGATATGATTTTACTTGCAGAACATTCGACTATGCCCGAGTGATAACAGAGAACAGAGAATAACAGAGGTAACAGTTTTAGAATCAAAGGGAAGATTCTGATATTGATAGAAGCGATCTAACAGATGGAGGCGAAGCTCGATGAATCCAAGTTCCTATCGCGCAAATCTGAAATCCTCTTTCACGTGTCAACAAACCTTCGTCAACTCTATTCTGCGTGAAAGTTAGTTCGATAACTTCGTTTCGACTCCGACTGCCTCGTACCGATCGCGATTCCACTACCTTTACGATAACGTAGCTGATACTATAGTCGAGAAAGTTAGGAACGTCAGAGTTCAGGAACCGTATATATTAGGTCATCCCATAAGTTCGTGCCGTTTTTCGAGCGGTTATATATGTTAAGATTGTCTACATACCTTTCGGTTTCATGGAAAAATGTAATCCCCCTCTCGTTGTACAATTTCTTGCCATTTTTCTGGTAGGGCCATTATTCCGTCTCGATAAAAGTTCTCTTGTTTTTCTTTAAAATAATTTTCTAAGCTATTTTTCAGAATGTCGATATTTTCAAATTTTTTGCCTACTAAAAGGTGTCGTAATGCTCTGAACAGGTGGTAATCGGACGGGGCAATGTCTGGGGAATATGGGCGATGTGGTAAAATTTCCCAATTAAATTCAGACAATTTTTTTCTAACGCTTTTCGCGACATGCGGTCTAGCGTTGTCGTGATGGAAGATAACGTTGTTCCTATTCGCTAAACCTGGTCGTTTTTCAGCTAGCGCTTCCCTTAATTTTTCTAACCGAATGCAATATTTGTCTGAATTAATGGTATCACTTGGTGATTTTTCGACAAGATCCCGAATTTTATCTTCGTCTGTCTGAGGAGGACGCCCGGAGCGTTCCTCGTCTTCTAAACAGAAATTCCCAGCTCTAAAACGTCGCAACCCGCTTCCTACAGGTGCCAGATGAAAGCGCATTTTCTCCGTAAACGGCACATATGTTTTTCGTGGCAATTGTTACAGAACTTCCTTTCCGAAATTCATATAACACGAGACGTCGAAAATGGATACGCACTTCACTCGTGATTTTTTACCGTTGGAAGTCACTGTGTTCGCTATATTACGATCTTATAGCCACGAAAATCTGCTCTAGCCTGTTCTCGATCAGCTAAGCTCAAGTGCATCGGTCCCTTATCGCCGTACGTTTATAAATCGACACATGAAACGTATACACAAAAGTCGGCACGAACTTATGGGATGACCTAATAGATTCGAGAATTTCATTTTTAGTCGAACAGTTTGATGAAAATTCAGCGACCCCTTGAATTTGATGCTCAGCCTATGTTTATTATTTTATAATATTTATGGAATCACTTGACAAATATAATACAATCGCGATTACGCGATACCATTACGCGATTTTTACAAAGGTTTCGCCTTTTCCTTTTTATTTTCGCCCTAACTAATTCTTTTTGCCAAGCTCGCTTCGTACTTTCCCTTTTAATAGGCTTCTCGTTTGCCTTTTGTCAGCTCAGTTTTCGCATCCGCCCGAGATTTCCCTGTCACCCTCAACTCACTTTTTCATCCGTTCCAATTTTCATCCCTCCCTTTCTTTCTTTCCTCTTTTTCCCCCCAGTCGTTCCCTTCTCCGCTTTTCTAAAGCTTCCACAATTACTTTTGTCTCGGCTGTTCTTTCACTGAATTCCTGCCGCTTTCTACTGGAAATAATACGCTCGTACCATTAGCTTCAACCGGCGATTCCATCGAACAAACGAATAATTTTGATAGAGAAGGGTACAGAAGTTCACGCTGGTACTTTGTCCCGCGTAGCTTCGCCATATCCTTCGCCAAGCTTCGGCAAATTTTATCCGAAACGCAGATAGAAGATAGAAATGTGAAATAGCAATGTGAAAAATAATGGAAAATCGAATATAGTAGATATTTGATATTAAAATATTGGAATATCGTCTACGTTGGAAACAATGAATTAACAGATTAGGAACGGCGGAAGACGATTGGCAGAATTCGGAACCGACCATAAGGCTGGCACTGAAGAAGGCTGCTGAGGCTGCAGTTTCGCAGCAATGTGATGACGAAGAAATTAAGAATATATTGAAGAGCACCGCGGAGAGACAGCTGGAGTACGCTTTGAGTAAGCTACCGATAACGATATTTTCAAAACATTAACATATATTTGTTCAATCGCTCCGGTCTGCATCGAATTAGGATCACATACCTCCCATTGTATTGGAGATTTTAATGTGATTTTATTTTACGTGTACAAGCGAGTCCAAATTTTTCATTGAAATTCAGTTTATTATTAAAAAAAAAAAAAAAAGAAGAAGAACACCGCAAGATCAAAATGTTCATCGTTCATCTTCCTATACACCTAGATATAGGACATCTGTTAGGCGAGTGTCGAATTCCATCAGAGGGAAATGTTGTATGCTGTAACCCAGGCTCGGTCGTCAGGACATTGACAAAGGAGAATGTTCTGTGAAATTGCTGAGCGACAACGTTACGACACACATCCTAACGAATGTTGCTTCGGATGTCCCGTAGCACCAGTTTATTCACCGGATAAAATGACTCGATGATCGGACCTTGCCCGGAGACAGCACTTGTCCGTGATGGAATGCTTCACTTGCCTGATGGATGGCTTGAAGTTATAGAAAGCAGTCACCGCACAATGTTTTCGCACGTTCGCGGGGATCTCGAAGAAGCGCGCCAATGGGAGTCGTAAATTCCCGTTACGATTTGCTAATCGACGCCGCGAATCGCTCGATCCCTTATTTCTTTTAGGATAATAAGGGTAGTTAAATGAAAGATAACGCTGCTGCTAACAGGTTATTATATATGTCGGGTATACATTAGAATTAGTAGAATTAGGGGCGTGAAGCGAATCTTCGTTTGGATTACACGTCGTCGTTATGCAATAGAGAAGACATTGGCTAGTGCAAATACGATTACCATAGAGCCGGACAAGTAACCGTGGTAATTAGATACTCGAGAGACTAATGACAATGATCCTAGGTTCAATAACGAATCCGCGGACAACGGGACGGTAGCCGTACGCACTCGCAAAGATCCAAGTCGGATTCTGTGTTAATGGTCGCTGGCGTTAATCTCTTTTTCTGTCAATGAGACCGCAAGAGAGAATGACTTTCCGTTCGCAAGAGAGAATGATTTTCCGTCCCGGTGATACCCCAGAGGGAAACTATAACGGGGTGTGTCTAAGGACACGAGATCATCGGATTCGTCGAGAAAAGCCTTCGTTCAGAAAGTAAGGGAAATTGACGTTGCTGCTAATTGGCCAATCTCCATATCGGTAGTTAGAAAAGGATGCTAACCGCTCTTGAGGGAAGGTTGCTAGTGGGAGACGTCGTTCGTTGAAAAATAGGGCTCTCCTGTCTTCCTGTAACTGGGACAAAGACTGTGTATCTGCTGAGGGATTTTAGGTAACTAGATATTAGTGTTTATAACGGTCCTTGGGCTAGCCGATCACGTACTGCGGAGACGCGTCGATATCTGGTAAATATCCTGCCCGGAGAATAGGATCTGCGTGTGGCGAGCTACTGGACAGAAACCGTTGGAATGTTTACTGCCACGTGCCGCTACAAATCTTTCTGTGACGGATCGGTATCAATAGAGGACGCCGACAGATCGAGCCGCGGGTACCAACCGCCCAACACTAGAGGGCTACGACGACAACGAGTCTATCGGTCTAACTCGCTAGCGGTCGAATATACGAGCGATTGATATATATACCGCACCTAGCGAGACTCCCTCTACGTCTAAGGCAGGGACTACCGGGCACAGCCTTACTGACGAGTCCACCGGTAGTCCCGGGACGAAACGCACAACTCACTCTCTCTCTCTTCACACCCGCCACATTTCTTTTAAGGAGAGCTATAGGATTACTCAATGCCTTTGTTAGATGGAGAGTTCGTCCCGTTGACCACGGCTACGTTCGGCGACTAATTGTCGCCTTGAGCCCAAACTCACTGTCACAAGTCTTAAATTGTTTTTATGGATTTTCTCGAGGTTTCAGAGGGAAGGCACCGGTGTCCTCTTATCTCCGACATATATTTTCACAAACCAACAACTTCGGTGTAACACAAATGAATATTTGCTATGAGATGACTTCGAATGAGTGCGACCCGAGTCTCTAGACGGATTATCGCGTACACTGATGGATTTGTCGACTCACCGTATTCGAATTGTCGACCGCTTGACGAGATGCTCGATTGAGACTGACTGATCTTCGGGTGTAAACCCGGTCGAAGGATGTTGATTGTTCGAAGGATGTAAAATCAGTGATGTTCGGAGACGATGCTGTGGCGGAGAAAAGCTAAGGATGGGGGTGTGTCTAGCGCACGGGACCATCGGATTTGTTGGTGACGATTTTGGCTAAGAGAGTGAGGGAAATAGTCTTCGCTGTTAATTGGTTAAACGAAGGGTCTTAAACGCCCTCCAGAGAAAGTGGTTAGTGGGAGGAAAGTTGCATCGTACGTGAGAAAAACCAATTTTCCCTCGTCGAGCCGTGGTAGACAAAGGTCTTTAGAAATGCTTCGAAAACGGACGTTTGTTCGGTTTGAAGGACCTCGACTAGGAAATTCCTGAGATTTATAGAAGATACTTGAGACTATCGAGGGTACGCAGTGAGTATCCGAAGACATCTAGTTGCCATCTTGCCCGCGGTGTGTGACCTGGGCTAGGTAGAGTGTTACGCGACGTAACACACAACTTGCTGTATTCTTCTCAAATAAAACTTGAGTTTCATTGGGAAATTTGGATTACCCGTTTGCACATCTGATAAATAAATGAATGAAAATTTTAATTTGTTTCAATAAAGACGGTTTGACGCGAGATATTCTACTAAAACACCCACCTGCTGTTAACATAGTTCGTCAGAAAATACATCTCTGCCACGCGATTCCTTTTCCATCCTCTGTCACCCTAAAACAATTGTTTCCAGAGCTGGACGAAACAGGCGATGGTGTAATAGCCGTGACACGTTCGTGGAAAGGCAAGAAGGCTGCCAGAGCAGTGTGTTCGTTGACGTCCTTGGTGAACAGTCGTCTCCCACCTGACAATATAATCAACGTTGAAGTGGATCAAAAACAAGGTGGCATTAATCCTGACAACAGGTCGCACAAGGGCTACCTGGCTCATCTTTGTCGCCTCGTGATGAATCGCGTGCAGAATTTGGTGAACGCCTCCATCGAGGCGGACCCGGAAATTAAAAGCAAGAAGAAGATGGTGCAGGAGATCTACGCGGAGAGTTTGATGCATTTGGCGCTTCTCAGGCAAATTACGCCTTGCGAGGATAACGAGAACGTGGAGAAGATCAAGGAGTTTTTGATAGCTGGTGAGATTAATAATAACGATTTTGACGTTTAATTGTGAACAATGGTTCGTACGCGTGTCGATTGGCTTTGACTTAATTTTGATATCATAGTTAGATGAATTCGCTGAAACGAAATTCAAATGTAATTCATTACCAGCGAATTAGGTTTTAATTTATTCCATTATTAATTTATACCTGCGCAAGCCTTCTAAAGCGACAGAATTCTTTAACGCTGAACGTAACGGCAGAGATTTTAACTGAAACGTTTAATTCGTCGTCTGGATGCCTCCGCTATCCGGAGACATAATCCTTTGAACGTTTGAGAATATTAAAGGCAGAGGCACGTGCACGATTCCTCGTCAGAACGCTTTGATGTCTGTTTATTAAAGCAACAGCTCCCCTAATACACTTTTCTGCCTATTAATTTCTATCTTACGAGGCAGTTTGCTTTGAACAGATTTCTGAATTACGGTAAAAAAAGTACAAAACCAAGAGGATCGTATTTTATGTAGCTCGGCAAGTTGCTCGAATGAGAAAATTAATTATCGAAAGGATGATCATTCTATAAGCGAAATCGTTTTAGCAAAAGTGCATCTATTTACCTTTAACAAGCTATTTTTTTATATTTAACAGGTAAATCGCAGAAACACGGTCCGATATTGATAAAGGGTAGCAAGTATTCTGGAAAGTCATCGTTATTGTCGCGAATCTATGCGGATGCCTCTTCCTGGTTGGATTGCACCACGTTCAAAGTGGTTCGACTCTGTGCTTCCACTCCTCGATCGGCGTACAGTCTCGAGCTACTTCGAGTGCTCTGTCAACATGTAGGTTTTCTTTCTGGTTTATTGGATGGGAATCTTCCTAAAGACGCCTCGTTTGATCCGCTTTACCTGAACAATTGGTTGGGCCAAATTCTGAGGCGCATCGAAGAGCAACCGATGATGGAGCAACTGGTGATTCTTCTCGACGATCTTCATCGATTGCATCCTCTTGACTGCGATATCGTCGCTGCTCTGTCTTGGTTGCCATTGAATCTTCCACCAGGTAACGTGTAATTGCCATTGCTAGAATTTCTAAGCGATAGTCATCACAATTTCAAATATATCGTTATATAACGATAATACGTACAGTATACGATATATATGTCGGGTTATCATTAGGATTTAAGGCGCGTAACGATTCTTCGTTTGAATTAGGCATCGTTTTACGAAACAGAGATTATATTTACGCGAATATACAAGATTTTACAAAATATTATGAATATTGAGTCTAATGAACGATAAGATTAACGAACGATAAGTTTAACTAATGATTAGATTAAAGAATAATAAGTTTAACGAATAATAAGAGTAACGAATAATATGTTTTACGAATAATAAATTTAACGAATAATGAGATTAACGATTAATAGGTTTTACGAATAACCAATTTAATTAACGCTATTAACAATGTTCCGGGGTTCAAACGAATCCACGGTCAACGGGATAACTCTTTACTATGCGTAGAATAATTTTAAACACAAAAAAATACGATTGCCGAGACACTCGGTAAATTGCTCGATGTATCACTTTCCAAGGCGATCACACGAACGAATATCCGATGAAAATCTTTTTCGCTGTACGACTGCGTTTTCTTTGTTATATGCTCGCTGGAGGCATCGAGAAGGTTCCAATCGTCGTTGCTAGGCAGTTTCTGTCAAAAGTTTGTTGTATACTCTTTGGAAGCATCGAGAAAGATCCAAACGCCGTTGCTAGGCAGTTTCTGTCTGGAGTTTGATTCCTAATACAACGTGTGTCCCATTATATCGACATCTCCAAAGTACAATTCTATGTGATTTCTAGGGAGAACTATACAACCGATCCACACCTTCGTCAGGCAAAACGTTTATCCCGTGACCGTGGCTACGTTCGGCGACCAGTTGTCACCTCGAAACCACTTTCGCTTTCACAAATATCAAGCAATTACAAATGACAATTGCTTAATTACAGCTATGATAAAATCTAGGCTAAAGCATTAGAAGACTTCCTCAAAATTGCAAAGGGAAGGCTCCGGTTTTCCTTTCATCTCCGACATATATGAATCAAAATAGAATATATAAAGTATATTTTATATAACATTTTTCATGTCCCACTCTTTTCTTAACCATCACATTTTATTTCAGACAATTTTCTCAGACTTTTCTTCTAAACCTCTACCAAGCTGCATATAATTTTTTACTTTCCTCTTTTTTTACCCCCTCCCCCTCATACGAAGCGCGATCAAAAAGGTCGTTGAATTTTTTTCTTATTTGAGAAAATATTTATTTGTTCGTCTATATTTAAGTTATTCCCTTTGAATATGTTGAAGTAACTAATTCAAGAAAGCTCTACATCTTTATTTATGTATATCCGTGACCTAGAGACCATCGTTTTACGAAACAGAGATTATATTTACGCGAATATACAAGATTTTACAAAATATTATGAATATTGAGTTTAATGAACGATAAGATTAACGAACGATAAGTTTAACTAATGATTAGATTAAAGAATAATAAGTTTAACGAATAATAAGAGTAACGAATAATATGTTTTACGAATAATAAATTTAACGAATAATGAGATTAACGATTAATAGGTTTTACGAATAACCAATTTAATTAACGCTATTAACAATGTTCCGGGGTTCAAACGAATCCACGGTCAACGGGATAACTCTTTACTATGCGTAGAATAATTTTAAACACAAAAAAATACGATTGCCGAGACACTCGGTAAATTGCTCGATGTATCACTTTCCAAGGCGATCACACGAACGAATATCCGATGAAAATCTTTTTCGCTGTACGACTGCGTTTTCTTTGTTATATGCTCGTTGGAGGCATCGAGAAGGTTCCAATCGTCGTTGCTAGGCAGTTTCTGTCAAAAGTTTGTTGTATACTCTTTGGAAGCATCGAGAAAGATCCAAACGCCGTTGCTAGGCAGTTTCTGTCTGGAGTTTGATTCCTAATACAACGTGTGTCCCATTATATCGACATCTCCAAAGTACAATTCTATGTGATTTCTAGGGAGAACTATACAACCGATCCACACCTTCGTCAAGCAAAACGTTTATCCCGTGACCGTGGCTACGTTCGGCGACCAGTTGTCACCTCGAACCCACTTTCGCTATCACAAATATCGAACAATTACAAATGACAACAATTGCTTAATTACAGCTACGATAAAATCTAAGCTAAAGCATTAGAAGACTTTCCCAAAATTGCAAAGGGAAGACTCCGGTTTTCCCTTCATCTCCGACAAATATATTACGATAGGAAGAAAAATGTGGAGATAAAGATGTGGCGGCACTCGACGACAATGTATATCGCTAAAGTGCCTAATGAACCATCAACATCCCAACAGTCCTTCCATCGAAGGTTCTAGAAGAAAGAGCACGTGGCAACGATCGCGGATGCCTAGCAAATGCGTGGAAGGTGGGGATGTTGAGGGATGACAAAAGAAAGTAATCGAATCCGATCAAAAATAAAATCATAAGAGTCAGTCTTGGAAAGTCACGCCTAGAGTTCGGAAGTAGATTGTAAAGTGTATTGATGTTAGAAAAAAAATAAAGTTTTCTTTTTTTATTTTTTACCTCAAATTCCTTTTTTTACTTTGTTATTTTACGTGACAGAAGCATGGAGAAGGTTCCAATCGTCGTTGCTAGGCAATTTCTGTTAAAAGTTTGTTGTATACTCTTTGGAAGCATCGAGAAAGATCCAAACACCGTTGCTAGGCAGTTTCTGTCTGGAGATTGATTCCTAATACGTGTGTCCCATTATATCTCCAAAGTACAATTCTATGTGATTTCTAGGGAGAACTATACAGCCGATCCACACCTTCGTCAGGCAAAACTTTTATCCCGTGACCGTGGCTACGTTCGGCGACCAGTTGTCACCTCGAACCCACTTTCGCTATCACAAATATCGAACAATTACAAATGACAATTGCTTAATTACAGTTATGATAAAATCTAGGCTAAAGCATTAGAAGGCTTCCTGAAAATTGCAAAGGGAAGGTTCCGGTTTTCCTCTCATCTCCGACATATAAATAAACGAGAAAGCAAACAACAAACATTGCAAAGTATTAAACGTAACGTACTTTGTTCATCCACTTTAGGAGTGCACTTAATCGTGACTACGGCTCTTCCACCGGAAGTGCTGCGTCTCACCCCGATACAAAAAGAGAGACTACGCAGCAATGAGATTTTAATCGAACTACAAGATTCGGGTACGGATTTCCACGAGACAGAGAACGTTTTCGACACGTTGGAGAAGTTGATAGGTGAAAACGCGGCTAACAGAATCGGTGCCATTTTGGCTTCCACGGAGTATGGTTTGTCCGAAACGGAGATTCTTGAGGTGATCATGCCAACCGGAGGCGACGGGCCGCTATTTCTAAACGAAGGGCAGTTCAATTTTGGCAGCTGGTGCTTGGTGAGGAGAACCTTCAACGAATATCTCAAAGTAAGTCTGGTTTAAATTTCTGGCAGAAAATTTAGGAAAGAAATCCTTTCAAAAAGTTAAGCGTCTCGACTCGATAAATCTTCGAAGATCCTGTTCTTATTTCGAAACTGGCAGAAGAATTCACAAATCCATCGATTCGCTATTCGCAGGTTCGCGTAATGGGCGGAAGACTGCTTTTCTCCTGGCGTTATCCGATTCGCGACTTAGCCCGAAAAAGGTACTTCCCGAATCAGGAAACATTGAAAAGCTACCACGGCGAGTTGGCAAATCTCTTCTTCTCCGAAGATTTCGAAGACAAGGATGACAAATCATCCCCCGAAGAGGAAACTCCGAAGAAAGAGACGCCTTTCCAGAGCAGACCGAGGTCGCAAGACACAGCGTACAATATGAGACACGTGGAAGAGGCTTGGTTGCATTTATTGAGAGCCGGCGACGTAGAAAAGTTAAAGAAATTGGCAGTCTGCGCGTTCGATTTCCTCTTAGCAAGCGTGCAAATGATTTCTGTTAGTTATTTGAGGTGTGTTCTCGAGCATTCGAGGAAGTATCTGCTGGAGAGAGATCTGGAATTGGTTTATTATACAGTGAGAAAGTCCAGTGACATTTTGACGAGAGATCCTCTTCAACTTGGCGCGCAGCTGATCTGTTGGCTTAGACCCGTGGCTGAAGATGGCGGAGATTTGGTGAGAAATAGCTGACAGTATAATTATGTACTTGAAGCAAAATATTCTAATTCGAAATGGCAATAACACTGATTACCGCAAGATTGTTTGATCGTAAACGGAAGAAAATTGTGTGATTGAAGGTCAGCAGAATGGTTACGGCAGCGATGGCATGGTGCGATGGTTATACAGCGCCATTATTGGTGCCATTAAATGGCTGGCTCCAACCGCCTCTGCCTCTTCAAATTCGTACTTTGTCCTGTCCGCAAGGTGTGAAACTCGTCGAAGCTGCTCCGTCGGGACAGCACGTTATCATTATCCCTTTCCAGGGAGACGCTCAATTATGGCACGTGATGTCTGGGCAATTGGTTCATACTTTTAAAGGTAACTATTTAATTGCTGGTAGCTCGCGAAAATATTCGAATTCTTAGCAGAGAATATTTTTCTAAATATATTGTATGCGTTATAAGAAACTTTTTGAAATTATTCCTTTGAAATGAAAATGAATGAAATTATTCCTTTTCCTTCAAAGAAAATGGCAAACAATTTACATTGTAACGTTAATTCCAGCCCTTTGCAGGAGAATAAATTTGTTTCTTTTAGGAAGATTAGCATAGCTTCTAAAGCTTAAAAGTTCTCGCGAGGGAAAAAGAGAAGCAACGATGAAAACTCGTCGCTTTATATTCAGTTTAGTAATTTGCTGTGAAAAAGCCTCCTTTGTACGTTGTCTCTGAATCTGTACTTCACGAGCATTTAAATAGCAGCGTCGCTTTAATTTGCAATTGAAAATAGGTCAGCTTTTGTGAGAATATAGTCGCAAATAATCCAGCTAACGTATATGATACTTTAAATGCCATTTTAAGCACGCGATATTGCTATGGTACTTCCGTTTTTTCACAAAACGACGAACATGGAATTTAATACGAGTCTCTGATATATTGATCGTGCGAAATAATCATTCTCGTTTCAATATGCAGTATCAGCCCGCCAAAGTCAAATATCGAACAAACAGATTTTTATGTTCAACTTGATATTCTATGAGAAATATGTTTCATTTCAGGGCACTCAAATCCAATTTCGTGTTTAGCCGTAACACAGCATTCGCAATATCTACTGACAGGCTCTGAAGACACTTCCATTATAGTATGGGATATGAAAGAGCTGACTTTGAAGTTAAGAATCCAAGAACACATTGCCCCAGTTCTGTGCTTGACGTCCGCGCTCAAGAATTCAGTGATTGTCAGGTTCATAGTTTTATCGCGTAGTATAACAATAAGATATCAAAAACGCTTTCTTCCATGATGTTGATTAAAAAAGGTAACCGGAAAAATGGGAAAAGATTTCAATCTTCTCCGAGTACTTCTTATTCCTATTAATTATAGATTGTTCTATAAGTTATTTCGTTTCGTATTTATCAACTAACGCCAAACCTTCCACTTTCCATTAGCGGTGGCGAAGACTCGAGAATAATCGTCACCAGTCTCCTAACCGGCGATGTTCTCATCAAAGTGGACCACCACAGAGGGCCAGTAAAGTCCATTCGCGTCGATTCCGCGGGAGAAATTCTGGTTTCCGGTTCTTCCGACTGTACAGTCTGCTTATGGTGTCTGGAAAGATTCACATTGTTAAAAAGCATCGTTTTACCATCCGCCGTGACTGTGCTCGACGTATCGGCCGATTCGGTGTTCCTATTGGCAGCCTGCGAAGATCAGAAATTATATTTGAGATCTTTGGCCACGGGAACCGAGGTCCACACGTTGAGAGGTCATCAAGGTGAAGTGAAAAGTATCTGCTTGGCGAAAGATTGCAGAAGAGCCATTGCCGGAGGAGCGAAGGGGAAGGTTTCCGTTTTCGATATGCACAGCGGACGATTGACGAGAACGTTGCTGGCCAATCCTTCGGCGGATGTTACCGCTGTCAAGGTAAATTATAGATTTTGTATTTATGATTTTATATTAATAAAAAAAGGCGGAATCGAAAATGAATAAACATTGATTGAAATTGGAATTAATCGTCGTAGCAAATTACCTTTTCTATTTGCATGTTAAATTACAAGTAGTGAAAGATCGAAATTAATCTTTCATATATAATATAATTTTTCGATTCAATTTTTTGCGAAAAGGTGACGGAGAAGGACGACTTCCTGATAACAGCTTCCGGCGATCGAGTGGCTTACTGGAGTTTCCGTGGCGAGGAGATACACGCTAAACCCGCGAAATTCGTGAAGGAGGTATCGTTGCACCCACACACTGCTCCCATATCTTGTTTGGATATATCCAGGGACGGAGCAATGGCAGTTACCGGTGGAGTCGATTCTCTCGTAAATCTGTGGCAATTGAATACTCACGAATTGCTTTCCACTTTCGAAGGACATATCGCTAGCGTCACCTGCATTGCATTCTCAGCTTCTGGTTTATTTGTTGCTTCTGGTAGGTCTGTAGATAAAATACAGTAGAGCCTCCCATACGTATACGTATATGGCAGATATTATAACAAAAATTTCATTTATTTACCTTGTTTGTATGCTTTTCTTTGCAATACTAGTTTTGCAAATACTACCATAATTTTGTATTGCCTTTAATACCGAAGAAACCCATTTCTTTTTTCAATCAAAATACAGTAAAGTACAATAGTTCAATAACCAAGTAACAAAGCACGAAATTGATACAATACAGTAACAGGAAATTAAATTGGAAACAGGTTCTGAGGACAAAACAGTTCGTGTATGGGGTCTGACCTTAGGTTTACTGGTATCGACGTTTAGACACCAGGCACCTGTTACTGCAGTCACATCTATGTTTGACGGCCGAAGAATCGTGAGTTCTGATAGAGCTGGTACAATCCGAGTTTGGGCAGCTGATACCGGCACCCTAATCCAATCAGTATGTGGGCCTGGTCGCTGTTTCACTGTTTCTTCCGATATGAGGTATGATACAGTGGCTGTAATCAATAAATTCAGATACTGTTTGTTCGACCAATCGCGGCGAGACGTAGTCGCTAGGAGAGACGTTAACGGGAGTCGTAAATTCCCGTTACGATTATAACAGTCGACATCACGACTCCATCGATCCCCTGATTTCCGTTAAGATAATAGGGGTGATCGAGTTTGTGTAACACTGTGATTCATAGAATTATAAATTATATATTTCCAACATTTAGATTACACTGATGAGCATAGATAGATAGATAATCACTTATCGCACGAAGATAAGGTAGATATGTACGTTAGAGCAGGGCTCTTATAATTGGATTTAATGTATTAGTGGACGTAGCACTATAAGATATTTAGGAGAGGAAATGTATGCTCGACAATACCGAGACAGAAGATAGATAGATAATCACTTATCTAGATAGATAATCACTTATCGCACGAAGATAAGGTAGATATGTACGTTAGAGCAGGGCTCTTATAATTGGATTTAATGTATTAGTGGACGTAGCACTATAAGATATTTAGGAGAGGAAATGTATGCTCGACAATACCGAGACAGACTCTCGCGTTATGCTTAGACTGCCCCGATAGGCGTTAGCGTTAGACGTAGTAGTTGACTTTTCCAATGATATAGAAGACGTGAAGTTGAGCGACGATGCTGTGTTGGAGGAAAGCTAGCGATGGGCGTGTCTAGCGCACGGCATCTTCGGATTTGTTCATGCCATTTTAGGTCAGGAAGCGAGGGCGGTATACATTGCCTCGGATTGGACAAACGGAGGTTGGTGGACTAGGAAGGGTCTTAACCGCCCTCGATAGAAAATTGCTGGTAGGAAGCATCGTACGTGAGAAAAACTAAATTTACCATGTCAAGCCGTAGTAAACAATAGTCTTTGGAAACTGATTTAGAAAAGACATTTGTTGGGTCTGAAGGACCTTAGTAGGCAAGTGACTCGGGTTTATGACGGGTGGGCCAAGCAGAAAGTCGCCCGGCGTAACAGACACTTTAATGAAATTTGCTTTCTTGTATTAATTCTTAATATTTCTCGAGTCTTTTATAATACCAATACAGTCGCCTTGTTTCAATTTTTCCTACAATGATCGTTATTTGAATAATTTCTTAACTTATAATAATAATTATAATTATAATAAATTAGCAATTGCGATGTTTTTAGATTTAATTGTCTTCTTCTTTTCTAAATTTCAGATACGCGGTATGCGGAACAGGAGACAATCAATTAAGAATAGTAAGTTTAGGTGTTGGTCCTGAAGAGAAGTACCAAGTGTCGCATTCTCAAGAAATTACCTGTCTAGTTGTTACTCCAGATTCTCAGTCACTGATTACGGGCTCGAGAGACATGAGTTTGAAGGTTTGGCAGCTCGCTGGCGGCAAATTATCTCAGGTTTATACACGTTATGATAATAACATCAAATTCCTATATTTAATTTAGAAAAATCTTTAGAAATGAAGAAAGTACGACAAATTTTCATTCAGGTCCTCGTTGGTCACACGGATCACGTTACCTGCGTCGCAGTTTCTGTGCTCGACAAATCCATCGTAGTTTCTGGTTCCAAGGATGCGAACCTGATCGTCTGGGATATAAATACTGGCAGCGATCTGCATACCTTAAAAGGCCATTTAGGTTATGTAACCTGTGTAAAATTGTCGTGTGATGGAACTCTGGCAGCGTCTGGAAGCGAAGACAAGAGTTTGATCATTTGGGACACGAAGAAGGGCTGTTCACTGAGCAGCATAATGTTACACGTGCCTGTGTTAGGTGTTGAGGTTGCCACGGATATGTCGAGGCTCGCGTTGCATTTACTCGAACACAAATGCATGCCTATTCTATGTTTGCATAATACTCCAGCGCAGTATGTGAAATTACCGGATTACGTAGCACCTTGGTGCGATACCAGAGATTTGAGACCACCTGGACGGAAGAGACCCAATAAGAGATTATTGAAGAAAGAAGTGTCATTGGATAGCGACACGTGGCATAGGAAATATGGCCATCTCACTTCAGGTATTGCTGACGATGATTACAGTGCATTGTATTCAAAATTAAACTATTATATAATTCCAGGAGTTTTAACGTCATCGATAGAGGATGGATTACAACGACGGTTCAGCGTAAGCGCTTCCATGGACGAGATCAGCAAAGTTGGATTAACGAGTAGTCCATCCGGTTTAGGACCGGAACAGGCTGCACTCGCCCAGTCCCAACACTTCGATCAACTCGAAGCACTTTGGAATAAACAGTCTCCACCAGCTAGACCTCGTGCTCATGGTAGGACTCTGTCGAAGCAAAGTTCTTTGCAAGCTACGCGAATATCAGATTCCGAGGAAGAAGGTGAGTTTAAGAGAGTTATTTAATTTAATTAAGAAAAGCCATTTATTTATTTATGATCATTCGCGCCAGCAAAACTTTTTGCTGTACCGAGGACAGAGATAATAAAATGTCATTAGAAGCTGAAATTGAAATGTTATTTTTTCCCCAGGTGTACCAGACTAAAGCGATACTTTGTTAGAAACTAAACGGACTAAATCCTAGTCGTCGTACTTTCTTCTTTTTTCCACTGTCTTTCTAAGTAACAGAGAAGAAAAATAGTAAGTAGGAAAAAAAAAACACGAAAGGAAAACGTCTCTAAGGTAAAGCTCTAAATTTCTCGTGTCTGACGCAATAAACATAAATATATATATATATAAATATAGGTACACATATGTATATCATTATTAGAGGAGAAATAAATTAACTTTATTTATTTTCATCCCCCATTCCCAACCTTTTTAGGGATCATTTTTAACAAAGATTATAAATGAATTACTTCGATGTACCTTACTTGTATCTGACGAAATTATTGTCTTTTATAGGTGAACAATAAGAATCAGCCATTTTTTATGCAGAATAGATATTTGTATTTATCATTTTAATTATTAAATTTGATTTACAAAGAAAATATTTTGGTCCTTGTAAATAACTACCCGCTAGTACAAGTTGCGGCTAACAGTAATTTAAAATTAGTTTTTCAGTTTTGTTTAATAATCTGTTTTTTATAATAATCCGAAACGATTTGCCATGCTTTTGGCGCCATGAATCCTTCTGGTGGATTTTTCCCGCATTTTGCCAAATCTGAAACAACGGTATATTAATGTTTATTAGTACTGTTTTTTTTTTTATTATTATTTGGATGTTTCATAGAAATGTTTTTATATAAATCTTGTATTTATTCTAATGCGATATTTCGTATTTTTAATGCAATTTACATTTATAGTTTAATTCATTTTTTTTTTTAGATTTTTTAAAATAAGAAGTGAAATAAGAAATTGTTTTTTAAAATAATTTCATTACTAATGATTCATTTTTAATGATTTCATTAATAAAATAGGCAAGATAGGATATACAAATTAATTACAGGAAGATTTAGAAGAAAAAGAAAAGAAACACGTACATGAAAAAAATATAACTTACTTCGCATTTTAGTTCCAGATATGAAAATAAAATCTTGCGATCGTTCCGGCTCGAAAAAAGCCATTTTTTTTTTTTTATTATCGTAAGCTGCCATCTTAAACGGTATGATATTGAGATTCTGAAGACCCGGTGCCATCGACAGTACCCTCGAGCCATGCGTTCCATCGTACAGATTTCCTAATTTTACAATTAAAGCGACCGCTGATTTATCACGATAATGAGATATCAGAATTCCTTCGATATAACAATAAAATTGCTTCGCACAATAAATCAAGAATAAAAGCGTACGATTTTTAATTTTTTATGCGAGTAATCTTAGGAGTCAAGGGACAAGTGAAATTCGTCTTATCAGAATATTACCGTCCGGGGTTTTAGATTTGTCAGGATGCGGCAAACCCGCGGGATCACGACCAACGATGAAGAAATTTGCCCCGGCCATCATTCTTCCTTTGGCGTGCCATTGCACCTAAAATAAAAATCGCAAATTTTAAACAATTCTCAAATTTAAAATATTTATATCTCTTCGAAATACTACGCTTTTCTTATTCCATCAATTTTAATTGTTGATTAATTTTTTAGGGAAATAAACAATACCTCTGTAGGGCCAGCATAAAGCATCGGGCTTGGAAAAATAGCGAGGATGGTGTCTTCGTGCAATACACCCTCCTCGAGTACACTTTGGTGTTGGTTTATCCGAATTGACAATGGTACGTCGTCTTGTTTCGTCCATCCTCCCAGAGGATGCAGTAGAAGAACTGGTTTCTTAAAACCACGTTCCTCCACGAGGTATCTTCTCGTATCCTGGTATTAATTTGAATAATAATTACATTAAAAGAGAAGAAGAATAGAAATTTTTGCGCAGGAAAAAGTAAATGTCGTAATTGATTGGATTTATTGGACTTTCTTTAACCCTCAACTAGGTTCTTATCAAAATAATGGAAACTTAATTAATTTTGCTTCGTATCGAACCTCCTTTAAAGCAAATAATTTTATCTCTTATATTATACTTGAAATTTGTTGTTTTCGATGAGAACTAATCAAAAACCTGTATTAAGAGTGCGTGGCCATTGTGGATCGGATTTCTCAACTGGAAGGCGAAAACAGCATCCGCTTCCATTTCTTTGCACTTTCTACGAATTTCGTTTGGCGTGAGCCTGTACTTGTCGAGACCATCGTTCCACTTAATCTTTTCCAGAACTTCTAATTCTCCTCCAACCAGCCAATCACCCGATTCGTAGATCATTTTGACGTAAGGATGTCCAAGGTCGTTTGTACCAAATTCTCTACTACACCTGTTGCAATGTTTCCGATTTATTTTCACATAAGAGGAGAACTGGAGAATCTTCGAGAAATAACTACTGAACTAGACTAACTACTAACTAGAAATAATAATTTACTGAAAAAACATAATCGAACCTTTCTTCTTTTCGGTGAGCGAAAAATTCTGGTCTCCTCAGAATTGCGATATCTTGGCCGTTGTACTTCAAAGTCAGTGCCGGTGCTGTAATATAGCTTTCCTTTTTCTCTGTGCTAACCGGAAGCACGATAGGTATCGATTGATTAATCACGTCCCCATTTCGTTCGATAGTTTTGAAGTGTTGACACTTGAAAATAACACACACACGCACATTCTATTTATTATCTCGTTAGAAAAATCTACCTCTATTCTACAACTTTTTATCTTTACAAACTTAGTGTTTCATAATTAATATCGTCCAAAGATAGAACTCGTTTCTCTATGCTCAAATCTCGTGCAATTCGTTAATCAAATTTTAATTACACACCTGCAAATATTGATACTCCCTCATGAAACCTGTGAGCGGAGCAGCCCAACCTTCAGCGAGTACTTGAACCCATTGCAAGTCAATCTTATTGATGCTGATACCTTAAATTGAGCATATTGATTTGAGGAATTAGGCAATTATCAAGTACTATATATCAAATGGAAATTGTTTACATAAAAGCTTATCTCTTTGCCAATTGGAAACATCAATTTGGAAAAGAACTTTCTCTATCTTATCTGTGTGTACCGTAGCAATCTATGAATATTTGATATTTCGCATGTGAATTATTTTAGCCGGAAATGTTTGCGTGCCACAACATTCTATGACACCTCCAAATCTTTATATTTTCGTAATTTCGTAAGCAAATTACACGATGTCAGAAATAAAGAACCATCCACGTGTTCTTCAGCCACAGCGTAGTAGCCACTTGCTTGTCCAATCAACAAAAGACAAGAAAAAGTGGAATTATTTTGCAAACAAAGGCAATAATTAAAATACAAAATACAGAATCAAGTGAGAAAACATTTGCAACGTACTCGGAAGATTCTCCGCCTCTTTTCTCGCCTCCTCCATCCTCCTCTCCTCGACGAACAGTTCTTGAATCTGCTCTCGAGTCTTGGGAAGAATTCCCTGGGCCGTCAAGAACTCGAGCACCATTCTTATCGAGGTCTGCAAATTATGAATTTCCGTATCCACGATGAGATCAGGAGCTTTGGGCGTTTCATATTCCTGGCCGATGCCTGTGAAGCTTTTAATCATCCCTTTTCTAGCTTTCTTGTAGAGGCCTTTCACGTCTCTGGCTTCGCAAATCTCCATGGAAGCTTTCACGAAGATCTCGAAGAACCTCAAGTTAAAATCTTCGTGTACCTTCCTCGCCAGCCTTCTGTCCACCTCGAAGGGCGAAACGAGGCTGCAAATGGCGATCAGACCGCAATCAGAGAACAACTTTGCTACTTCAGCAGCTCTTCGCACGTTCTCTCTGCGATCTTCTTTCGTGAAGCCCAGGTTCCGGTTTAATCCGTAACGAAGATTATCGCCGTCCAGGCTGTAGGCTGGCAGTCCCTGCAAAAGCAAGTTTATATGATCCTGAAGCGTTAAAAAAATTATGGTCCGATCGAGAGTCTGGCAATTTGCAAGTTTCGAGATATGGCAATTTGAGAATTTGCAATTTTAGAGCAAAAAGTTTACTTGAGAAACCAGGTAATTTTCCAGCTCGAACGAGATGGTCGTCTTGCCAGCACCGGACAGCCCTGTCAACCAAATCGTACAGCCACGAAATGCTTTGGATTTTCCATAGATTTCCCCTCGTCTCTCCCTCGACACGTAGTGTATTTGTTTGATCACATTCGTCGCGAAAGCCTGCAAATATTTCAACGCGGGACGTTTCAAAGCGATGTATCTTTTATTTGCTGTTCGAAATTTTCAAGTAAATTAGGAGATCAATACACTTTATCCGATTTAGAGTCATCGAAATATTACTGAAAATAATTAATTCGACTGTTAATTATTTTACATACGACTGGATAAATCATTAAAAATACCCGTGTGTTATTATACCCGATTATTCTTCTGTGTATTTCGATTTTCCATCGAAGATTTCCTATATATCCCCATTATACGGAATATTTGATCATTAAGTTTCGTGCAACGATAAGGATCTTATAAAATACTCGACGATTGATTCCACTGTTTTTAAATGTCCACTGTGCAACGATCTATTCGACCAATTCGTTTCTCCGAGAATGAGATAAATTCAACTTAATAGCGACATCTAAAATAGAGCCAATGGCGTCGATCGAATGTTCGACTTTCTCACTCGATAAAGAACACTATCGATTGCTATCTATCCAGGCGTGTAGTTCTGCATCGACTATGCGTCTGTCGAGCATTTCTGTCCAGCGAGTTCCGTCAAACGAGAAAGTGAAAAGGAAAGTTGGATCGGGTGGGAATCGGAGAATTTCTCGCTCTACGTAAGATATTTCTCCGAGGAAATGAGCATTTTAGGAAGCTCATCGAATTTTAGCTACGTATTAAGGTGGATATAACGTACACGTAATTGAATTTTAAGGCAGCCTACGCTATCGAGCCTCGAGGTTTCCACATTGAACAGGTAATCCTCTTCATTTATTATTTATTTATTTCTTATTTCTTATAAATTACTACATTTTGTCAAAAGCCTAATATACGACGTGAAACTGTCAGGAATATCATATTGAAAAATGTCAAAGGTACAGAAAAGTACGTAAATCGATGAAATTCTGAATGAACATAAGTATGCATGCGCATAAATATGGCGCTTCGTAGACACGTGTCTATGTATAAGAAGCAGAAGTAGCGAATTCAGTTTGCCCGAAAAGTATTGTTTCGTTCTGGCACGTGCT